TAATATATAAAATTCTCGTGTCACAGTTTTCGTTGCCATACTCCTCCGAAACGGCTTGACCGATTTTGATGAAATTTTTTGTGCTTATCCGGTATCTATGAGAATCGGCCAACATATATTTTTCATCCCCCTAAATTTTTATTTTTATTTTTTAGACAAAATTTTTAATTTCTATTTTTTTATGATACAACATACAAAAATGCATACAACCCTAAATTTTACCCCTCTACGATCAACCCTTATTTTTTATTTGATAATTAAAAACTTTATTTTTTTGGCAAGATTTTCATTTTTATTTTTATTTTGTCATGAATTAAAATAAAAAATCTGATGTTACTCTCAATTTTTCATCCCTCTATGATCAACCCCTATTTTTTTATTTGTTAATTATAAACTTTAATTTTTTTTGGCAAGTTTTTTATTTTGTTTTGTCATGACTTAAATAAAAAAAATCATATTACTTTCAATTTTCACTCTTATACGATCAACCCCTATTTTTCCATCCCGATTAATATTTTTTTTATTCTATGCACAGATCTGCAATAAGGTTGTAAGATGGCAATCAAATATTATAATTGTAAATTCTTATTCAGAGTTTATAAATTCAAGTTCCTTTAATTATATATTTTTTTAAATTGAATTTGATCTCCCGCCCTCACCGGTCGACTACTAATCAACTATCAATCGATCAGCTATCCCCACCAGGATAGCTGATCGATTGATAGTCGGTCACCACTCATCCAGCAAACATCACGTAGTAGGGATGAGGACGAAGCCGGTTTTCTGTCTATTTGAGAGCTATACAATACTTTACATTTTTCAGCCATGTTTTTTGGTTTTATTTGTGTATCAATAGTATCTTCAGTAGGTCTGAGAATCGGCTACTATCTATTTTTCATACCCCTAAGTGAAAAGGGTTGTCCACCCCAAACATTTATTTTTTATTTTAATTTTTTGGATATATATTTTTTTGTTTATAACGAGGTATTATGTGGTTAAATGAGGTTTTTTTTCTACAGTAGAATTTCCCTAGAAATCTTATTTAAGGCAACACAACGTTTGCCGGGTCAGCTAGTACATATATATAAAAATGAATTGCTGTTCGTTAGTCTCGCTAAAACTCGAGAACGGCTGGACCGATTTGGCTAATTTTGGTCTTGAATTATTTGTGGAAGTCCAGAGAAGGTTTATAAGGTAGATAAGGTAGAAGTAAATATGAAAATGCTCGGATATAAATAAAAATAACAATTTTGATTTTCCTTTGATGTGTCCACCGTCGGACAAATTCCTTTTGTTTGTTTTAAGTTTATTTTATACAAAAATTTAGGTCTTTTATTTATCAATTGAGGCACTACGAAGTCTGCCGGGTCAGGTAGTATTTTTATAAAAATAATAAAAATTCTTTATCCTCGCATATCCTGAAAATCGTATCAAACACTAAAGTAGTGTTCGTACATTATTGTGTACTACCGAATCAAGGTCAGGTTCCGCTCTGACTATTGCTATTACGTGAAAAACACCGATTCATCATTATTGAACGCTTGCAATATGCCACGACATTTCGCTACGGTACTCTATAAAAACAGTTTCAAAAAAATAGTTTCTATTTAGCCAGAACATGCATACTTAAATGCGTCTAAAATTCCCAGTGTTTTACAAATTTGTAGGATATGTTCATAGATACGTTAAAGTATGTTAACGTTTTTTTTTTTTTTTACCCGGTCGGCGGTTTATCGCGTTCCGACCCGGCAGGCTGGTTCTGCCCCAGCGGGGTATCCCGGAACACCAGCGGCACCGCCCCGGCGGCCTGGTAGGGCCGCCGTACCGCGGAGACCGACGTCGTTGGTCGTCGACTATCGCCTCGACGACCCGTCGGTCGGGGGTGGCGCCGCGTGTCTGGTTGTAGTGTTGACCGCGGGAACCCCCCTACTCTGACTGGGTTCTGACCCCGGACGGAGATCGGACGTCGAGTGTAAGAGTGCAGGGGAGTCGTTTAGTGGGTGGGTCCTAAAATCCTTGGGCCCGCGATCTGCTCTCAACACCTGCAGATCGTTGAGTCTCACATACCCCGCGCGCCCCCTAGGCGCGGGGACCTCGTAGGAGGTTCGGACCCCGGCCAGAAAAAAAATAAAAAAAAATGTTAACGTATTTTTAAGAAAACCTTAACATTCGCTTTTTTTCCAATAATTTATGTTAGATTTTCTACTCTAACTTTGTTTATTTATTAGAAGTTATTGAGCTTCGTTTGCTGAATTTTTCACGCAATGCTTGTGATGCCAACAATATCCATGTGGCTTGTCTAATAATGTGGCAAGCCTTCCTGCATTAGCACATAGCTCATATTCATCCCCGGTAACCGTACTCGTCATACTCGACAAAGAGGTCGATGTGCAACCTAACCAATGCATCAGCCCGCTGAGTTTCTCGCCGGATCTTCTCAGTGGGTCGCGATTCCGATCCGGTAGTAGATTCATTCGCGAAGCAGTTGCTCTTGAGTTGTTAGGTCTCCTTCGGAGGCGCTCGGGCAGCTGTTAGCAAATCCCACCCCTCCTGGCTGAGCCTTTGCTCACGCACCTGTCCTGGTGAAACTGGAAAGGGCTCCGGGCTACCAGTAATCCTTCAATCATAAAAAAGCTCATATTCAGTTGCAATATGCTATAACCAAATTCAGTTTTTGTTATCACTTCGTGTTCACGATCGCAGGTCACTCTGCAGTAATGTCGCATTGTAAATTACATCAGCAAATCGCATTTGAAAGATTCCTTTGTTATTTGATAATTACAGTTCATTGACCAGATAATATTTGAATGTTTTCTGACCTTAATGATCCGTGACGCATTACGGAGCGTCATCTATACATACGATAACGGGAAAATGTACATCACTAGACAAACTAATAAATTCAATCAATAACGATCAAATCAAATCAAATCAAAGCTTTTTTATTCAATATAAATGAAAGTACATACTTGTTGAACGTCAAAAAGAACTACCGCCAATTCACAAGAACTAGCCTCCGTCCTGAGAAGAACTGGCAAGAAACTCAGCGGGCATATTGTCTTTTTTCTTTTTTTGTAATATTAGATTTTTTTTTAAATATAAATTTTTACAATGAGTATTATAATGTAACAATTATTGCAATATTAAAATGCCCGGAGCGAGCAACTCATTCCCACTTTGTGCAATCTTCTAGATCAAGTTCCAAGGTCTCAGTATAGTTTTACAAGGGCTGCCCCACTCTTCAAACTGAAACGCATTGCTGCTTTACGGCAGAAATAGACAGGGTGGTGGTACCTACCCGTGCGGACTCACAAGACGTCCTACCACCAGTAATTACGCAAATTACAATTTTGCGGGTTTAATTTTTAAGGCTACACGATGTTATTCCTTCACCAACATTGCCATCAATATGCTGATTCTCTTCTCCCTTCGCGAGAAGAGAATCCACAATATTGCTTGTCTTTTATGCTCAAAAAAAAACTAAGTGGTAACTCACTTTTGTTTCATAATGATTCACCAAAATTAGGTTCAAATTGACCGCTATAACTTATCTCAGATCTTTCATCAATTGATCATGCTTCTAGAGTATGAGAAGTAGTGGTAGAAGTAAGACTTACTACTACGGTTTTCCAAAACTTGTCTCCAATGCTGATTTGATCTAACCGGGACTTTTTAATGAGCGCGATATCATCCACATAGACCATGGCTTGTGTTTCACTAATGGTGAATAATATTCAGTATAGTAGTATTTTTGAATGGATTTAACAGAAAAACGTTGTTTTTTGTTCGCTAAGAGTTTAAAATCGAAAAATAATTGTGCAGATATGTTATTTGTACTTTTTTGCTTTGTGTTATTAAGTCGACGAGAAACAGTAGATTAAACTTATAGAAAAAAAGAGTCAAATTAAATAACAATTAGGTATACTCAACAAATTTTGTAGGATTGATTCATTTTGAATGTGTGCCTAATTTACTGATGTTTAGTATCCATACTCGTTCTTCATCTAGCAAATTTTTCATGAATTGATTTGTCTCAGTCTTTTAACAACAAAACTATCACTTAGCACCAGTGATTCAAAACGAGGACTAAAAGTATATCGGAGAACGGTCATCAGCATTCTTTAAGTATCGCCATCGCTACCCAGCACCTATTGCTGTTAGACTGTAATGTGTGTGGACTACACGGTTGGGGATCTTGTCTAATCCTGCTGCAAAAACAATCCACCACCCCGTCACCTAAATTTATAACAATAGCAAGAACTATTTCTTATAATACCAACTTTTCTTTATGAAAGTGGCTATTGTGCATTAATTAAACAAATAAGAACAAGCCAAGCTGATTTTTTACCTATTTGCAAAAACGATGTTCAGTCATATTGAGCACTTACATGTGAAGTTCACTGGCGACCTATTTGAGAGACCGCACCACCCTCTACCAAGGATTCCATAAGTATTACTTGGTAGCTTTACAATTGTAGATATACGACAAAGGGAAGATCTTCCACCGAGCGGCTTTTTTTTTTTTTTTTTTATTGCTTCGCTGGGTGGACGAGCTCACAGCCCACCTGGTGTAAAGTGGTTACTGGAGCCCATGGACATCTACAACGTAAATGCGCCACCCACCTTGAGATATAAGTTCTAAGATCTCAATATAGTTACAACGGCTGTCCCACCCTTCAAACCGAAACGCATTACTGCTTCACGGCAGAAATAGGCAGGGTGGTGGTACCTACCCGCGCGGACTCACAAGAGGTCCTACCACCAGTAAAAATATTGGGTGATATTGCTCGGTAGACCGACGGTCCGAATGTTATTTTTCGGAATATATGCAAGCTTATCTTGAAAATGTTATAAGTGAGATTCAGGCGTCTGTCAAACATCTTGTGTTATACGATGGCTACCGCCACAACAATCGTCAATAGGTCCTATCCCAAGATCATTTTCGTCACGTACCTCAAGCAAAGTTTCAAAGGAGTCCTCACTGTTAGGCCGCTCTTGTCTGTTGTCAAGGTCGATAAGCGATGGAAATCACTACCTAAGTAATGCGTTATTTTGTTAAAGATTCTACGCATTACGCTGTTTCAAAAAGAAATCAAAACCTTCTTCAGAGAGCTGATCTTGGGCACCATGAAGAACAGGGAAGCACAAAACATTATCAGACCTGACATGATCCATCTACTCATGGAAGCTAAGAAAGGTATTTATAACCTTCTGACTAAAATATATATTTTTTTAGAATGCTGGATACGAGCCATACTGTAACTATACTGGAGACCTTAGAACTTATAATATCTCAAGGTGGGTGGCGCATTTACGTTGTAGATAGATGTCTATGGGCTCCAGTAACCACTTCACATCAGGTGGGCAGTCCATCCAACTAAGAAAGAAAAAAAACATTTTCCAAAGACCTTTCCTGCCTCCCCTGTAGAATGTTCTCTGAGTGTTCCAACATGTCCTACTCCAACGTGATTTGAGGAGAATCTTCAGCGGCAGGTTGCAGCTAGGCTATGCTCTGCTATTATTGACATTCGTGAACGGCAGTGACCACTCACCAATAAGTGGCCATATGCCAACCAACTTCGTTGTAACAATAATATTTAAAAACGACGAGTCCAGAGCCACATCTTATTAAGTCCATAGACATCACAAAACAAACTCCTTCACCCACATAATGAGGTCTCATTTGTGATTGTGTAAAAACTCTCTCCGACTCTTCAAAACGGAACCATGATTGATATTATGGAAAATTAAATGCAGGCTGGTGATAACGTGACAAACAAAAATCAAATTGTAAAATTATTATGGTAAATTGTAATTTTACAGAATTGTAATAAGAACTATTTTATCCTCATCAACTGTCAAAAAAACACAATAATATTCATCTTAATTCTTTTTGATTAGATTATTCGTTCTACCTTCATTAATTATACTTGTCTGCAAACTTTGTGATTAGATATCGAAGTATTCTTGTTTATTTCAGTATCATTATCTAATATGTATGTAAAGTAGAAGAATGACTTATGCCTGAGGTAACAATAAATACACAAGAAGATTACGAAACGAATGTCACCATCCTGCCTATTTTTATCTCTTACTAACTGACCCGGCAGACTTCGTAGTACCTCAATCGATAAATAAAATACCTAAGCTTTTATATAAAATAAACTTAAAACAAATAAGCAAATAAAACAAAAATAAACTTAAAACAAACAAAAGGAATCCTTCCGACGGAGGATACATCAAAGGAATAATAAAATTGTTATTTTTATTTAATTCCAAACATTTTCATATTTATTTACATTTTAAACCTTCTCTGGACTTCCACAAATAATTCAAGACCAAAATTAGCCAAATCGGTTCAGCCGTTCTCGAGTTTTAGCGAGACTAACGAACAGCAATTCATTTTTATATATTACTAGCTGACCCGGCAAACATTGTTTTGCCATATATAAGATTTCTAGGGAATTTCTAGTGTAGAAAAAAAATCTAACTTATTGTAAGTGTGTAAGGATGTGATAAATGAGTGAAAGAGGTATGTAGTGCTGTGAACGATGAGGGAATATATAATAAAAATAGCAAAACCTCATTCAACCACATAATACCTCATTATAACAAAAAAAATGTCCAAATAAAAAAAATATGGTAGGGGTGGACAACCCCCTAACATATTTCATCTATCTATTTTTCATACCCCTAATCACTTAGGGGTATGAAAAATAGATAGTAGCCGATTCTCAGGCTTACTGAATATGCATAAAAAATTTCATGAGAATCGGTCAAGCGGTTTCGGAGGAGTATGGGAACGAACATTGTGACACGAGAATTTTATATATTAGATATAGATATATATAGATATCCACCGACGGCTTGCCATGACAATGACCGCCATTAAAGGTTTATTATCAGTTAAACGGTGCACTCGGCTATTTGTCCGAATAATAAAAATAATTAATCCTCGTAATCACAATAGCTATATAACACGTACAACACTCGCTCATGAACGAATTCCAGTCCATTTTTAATTGAAGTAATTAATAACTCAATCTTAAAAACGAACTGTGTACAGTTAGTTGGTAATGAAGATAACGATCTAGTGGCTAGTGAAGTACTAAATAAATGATAAAGTTCAATTGGTACCTTTTTGTCAATTTTTTTTTATGCACAGGCAAGTTGAGGCACGATGAGAAATCCACAAAAGACAGCGACGCTGGCTTTGCTACCGTGGAAGAGTCCTCAGTCGGCAAAAAGGATATTAACCGAGGTACTTAATTACAGATTTACATTAAAAGAGTATATGGAATTTTTTTGTATCGGCTAATGCGATAGTGGATTTATGTCCTGAATGACCTTTTACTAATTAAATATGTACATGCGCTCAGCACGCACTACGAACGCCTTCCAAGATAAAGGAATAACAATAATAAGTCGTCGGGGCCTAAAAGATAAGACGGCCGGTGCATTCGTGTTGAGCGATGCACCTGTGTTCGAATCCCAGGCGGGTACCAATTTTTCGAATGAAATACGTACTCTGCAAATGTTCACAATTGTCTTCCAGGGTGAAGGCATAACGTCGTGTAATAAAAAACAAACTCGCCAAATTATAATTTGCGTAATTACTGGTGGTAGGACCTCTTGTGAGTCCGCGCGGGTAGGTACCACCACCCTGCCTATTTCTGCCGTGAAGCAGTAATGCGATTCGGTTCAAAAGTTGGGCAGGCGTTATACTTTAAAAACTGAGACATTAGAACTCATGTCTTAAGGTGTGTGCCAGCATTTACGTTGTAAATGCCTATGGGCTCCAATAACCCCTTAATGATAATACAAGTGGTATATGCCTATGGGATTTAAACGTTAGCATAGCAATGCCACCCGAAGTTGACTAATTACATCCCGGAATTGACTACCTTCTTACAGTGTGGACTGACGATGACTTGGTCGCCCAAGCGGTTCTATTTTTCGTCGCCGGCTTCGAAACAGTATCGTCAGCGATGACATTCCTGCTTCACGAGTTGGCTTTGAACCCTGAAGTGCAGGAGAGGCTGGTGGAAGAAATCAGAGAAAACGAGAAAAACAACAACGGAAAATTCGACTATAACTCCATTCAGAACATGGCGTATTTAGATATGGTGGTGTCAGGTTCGTTTTTGTGTAATTTTATGTTTTTATTATTATTATTATTTTTTATTGCTTAGATGGGTGGACGAGCTCACAGCCTACCTAGTGTTAAGTGGTTACTGGAGCCCATAGACGTTTACGACGAAAATGCGCCACTCACCTTGTGATATAAGTTCTAAGGTCTCAAGTATTTAATTACTGCTTCACGGCAGAAATAGACAGGGTGGTGGTACCTACCCGTGCGGACTCACAAGAGGTTCTACCACCAGTAAAAGGTTATTACCACCAGTATTAGTTGTAAACGTAGACCGACCAGTACTTGTTTTACTTGAATTTCTCACCTGTGAACTGTTTGTGACTATCAAATCTATCCCTGCAAATTGAATAATCGACTCGTAAATAATTCTCATCATCGTCATCTGAATCCCTTAGTTTTATGAAATATAATTTGAAGACATTTATAAATACAGTAAAAATACCATAAAATGACAGTAGTTAAATTTATCGCGTTATTTTTCAGAGGTCTTGAGATTGTGGCCACCCGTTATTGCCTTAGATAGAATCTGCGTTAAAGACTACAACTTGGGTAAACCAAATGACAAAAGCAAAGAAGATTTTATTGTAAGTTTTCTTAGATATTTTTTTTCTCTTCTGCAATAAGCAAACTTTTGGCTCGATGTAGAATTACAGGTTACTAGTGGTCCCCCCGTGGCCGAAATTCAACTATAATTAATTGAAATTACAAGTTTGTACTTCTATAATCACAGATTTCGCAAGATTACACATTAAAAAAATATTAATAAAGACAAACAATATTTAATCTTTTGTCAATTTGACCACATACTTACTATAAGCAATGAGAAAAGTTTAGACAATAAACAAATAATGTGCATGCGTGTGTGTGTCAAATACATGATAGTGTGTGTAATGTTTTCTTTTATTGAATTAATGTATTCTTTATACATAATTAAAAAAAATCAATATCTGTACTTCTTCTCTATATCTATACTAATATATAAATCTACGGTGGTTTTTGCGGATGTTCTGTTATAACTACTGAACCATGCATCCGATTGACTTGCAACTTGGTATCCATGTAGAAAATACATGTACTTAATGGATAGATTAATATTTATTTGAGTGTTGGACTCCCTACACCAGTTGCGGGGGCGTTAATGATGAGAATCTTTGTGGGGGTGAGAAATAATAATGTTAAGTTTAAATGCCCAGCGAAGCGGACGGGTACAGCTAGTTCTCTATAGGTAAGTGTAGGAAATTTCATACTCCTCCTTTCGCGCAATTTTCGTAAAAAGGGGTACAAAGTATTTGCTTCACGTATTAATATATTGATAAGTAAACTATATAGCCAACTATATATTACGTATGTACATAAATATCGCTTCAATATGAAGACCCGACAAAATCTTGGCTATGAGAAATAAAATGTGTTTATCTTTTTGACGTGACCTATTTGAAAGACAAAATTCCTATTTTTTATGTTGTCTCTCATTTTCACATTCTATGTTACAGATGCTCTAGTGAGTAGTCTTCTTAAAATTAATCACGATATTATATGCAGATACGCAAAGACGTGGCTGTGGGTATACCAGTATGGGGCTTACATCGAGATCCCGAATTCTTCCCGAACCCCCTGAAATTCGATCCCGAAAGGTTCTCAGAGGAGAACAAACACAACATCAAACCCTTCAGTTACATGCCATTTGGTCTGGGACCTAGGAATTGTATAGGTAAGGTAATATGCAATATTCAATCAAGGGTTAACAAACTCAAGGTCTACCTGATGTTAGTGGCTGATCCACACCCCATAGACAATTAATTACAGTATCCACAGAGTTCAAAAATCCAATCAAAATATTTTCATAATTTTTTTATTAAATAACATAATTTTAATTACTTGCAGTTATTTACGGGTGGTTTAATAAAAAAAATCATTGTTTTTATTAATTAATGGTATATTTTGTAGGTTCAAGGTTCGCTTTGTGCGAAGTCAAGGTGATGACATACCAACTCCTCCAGCACATGGAGATATCTCCGTGCGAAAAGACCTGCATTCCCTCGAAACTCAGCAAGGAGACTTTCAACCTTCGCCTTGAAGGCGGTCATTGGATCAGGCTGAAGATTAGGAATTGAAACTATTCTGACTAATACTCTCTTCCGCTTCCGTGAATCGTAAATGTAATCAAAACTTCTTTAACGGTTAATCTGACAACCACGAAACTTATAATATTATTATACTTGAGACCTTAGAACTAACTATACTTTTATTTTTTATTATGATTGAAAAATTACTGGTGGCCCGGAGGCCTTTCCAGCTTCACCAGGACAGGTGGGCGAGCAAAGGCTCAGCCAGGAGGGGTGGGATTTGCTAACAACTGCCCGAGCGCCTCCGAAAGAGACCTAACAACTCAAGAGCAATTGCTTCGCGAATGAATCTACTACCGGATCGGAATCGCGACCCACTGAGAAGATCCGGCGAGAAACTCAGCGGGCTGATGCATGGGTTAGGTTGCACGGCGAACTCTTTGTCGAGTTCGACGAGTACGGTTACCGAGGTCCCTAAGCCTGCTCCTAGTGTTAGAGCTGAAGGCGTCTAATGCAAAGGTTATTGGATCTGATGGATCCGTAAGGACGTGCCTAGGGCGTCAACGGTGACTGACTCCTGCATGATCAGGATTCGGGGAGTAGTCAGCGGCGGCTACGATAAGGCGATTACCATGACGCATAGCCTTATCGAAGTAACGTTCCGACACTGACTTCATGTGTTTGCGGATCGATTCGAGGCCCAGGTCGTCGTGTAGGTCGACGTTCCTCACGAACCACGGAGCCCCGACGGCTAACCTGCAAAAGCGGGATTGTAGGGATTGGAGGGTGTCTATGTGTGTGCGGGCCGCGTGAGCGAACACCACACTCGCGTAAGTCATGACGGGCCTTATGCAAGTTTTGTAAAGTGTCACCTTGTTCCGAAGGGACATTTTACTCCGCTTACAGATCATGGG